CTTGCACAGTTTTATTTTACTGGCCTTCCTCAAGCTTAGATATCCAAGGACTAAGATGCAAATGAACATAAGCTTCTATTATAATAAATAATTAGTAGTTCAAAGTAGTAATGAAACAATAAATAATAGAAACATGAGTATTGTTTTAGAACATTCAAAAACCAAATACATTTTATACGAAAGTATTTTATTTTTGAGTCTCAACAGATGGAATTCATAACCTTATTTTTTGATTAGACAATTCAAACATACAAATCAATTACAACATGTGGTTATCAGCTCCCCCTCCCACCCCTATAATTTAAAGCAACTGACAGTTTTGAAGGGCACCAAGACAATAGGGCTTAAACAATATGGTAGTTAAAATGGCCCTCTAAGAAAATAATTACAATAGTTCTTCAAAAGAAATTGTCCTTTGAGCAAAATAGACTGAATGAAAAGAATTATCATGAAATGAGGATTATAGTTTCCCTTCCCATAAAAGGTAAAAAGGGATGTACATTAAAACAGTGGTATAGAAAACTGGGGAGTCAGGCTGCAAAAATAGAAAGCCCTAGGTAAAAAAAAAAAACAACCAAAAACCAACCAACCAACCAAACAAACAAAAACTTCTCCAATAAAATGCATCCCCTTGAAGATAAGATATCCACTCAAACTCTAGTTTCATATTGAAATGAATGTTTTCCCCACCCTTAGTTCCTGGAAGTGAATTATTTTTGTACTTTGTTAACATTAACAGTTTTTCCAGACTAGCATCTCTCAAAAAAGAGATGAGAATGTTATTTTGTAGAAGTCAGTGATTTTAAGATAGACCAGCCAACTGATGCGAGTATCATTTTAGTCTCTAGCCATAAAGGGAGGAAGTATATCCCAGCAGACCTGGGGCTCCCAGGATACAGGGGTTCATACCCACCGATTCCTTGTAATCACTCTAAATCCTATAGCACCTTTATAATGTTTTCTCAATTCTATGTGTCATTCCTTCATACTTTTCACAGTCTGCCTCACAGCACCCTTGTGAGGTAGGTAGTGTTATGGTCATTTTGCAAGATGGGGTGCAAAAATGTTCAGTAGCTTGCCCATAGAGAAACATGAACCCAGTGACAGAGCCTTGGGAGACTCTTACTCCAGATCCTTGTCTTTTTAATACTTAGCTATCTGACTCCCTGAGAGTGGATCATGATAGAATGACAAATTGGTCATGAGCAATATGAAAGTCAAAGAGTTAATATGGATTAAAGTTTGAAGGTATTTTGATAGCTTTATTTACTGATGTTAAGTTACTATGATTATGAATATTCAGTAGATATTACATGATTACATAAAGGAATTAATGAATGAAGGAGAATTGTCTTGTATATGTGGAAAATTAAATTTTCTACATCTTTTAAAACAAAAGCTAGAGAAATCTGATGTACATTTTTAAATAAAAAATGAGAAAGAAGTAGTTTCCTGAATTTTCTGTGGGTATATATTTGAGCTAATATTGCCAGCATTTAAAATCACATAAATACAAAGACATTTAAAATAATTTTCAATATAGAATTTGTTACTTATTGGTTTGGAACCCAAACTAAGAAGATTACTACAAGAGGCAGTGCAACATACATAAACACCATTCATTCTCCTATACAATTAAAAAGTCTCTTGTGTGTGCTTGGTCACTCTTTACCCTCCATGTGAAAAATTTGTGCCCTCCAGTTCTCATCAAATGCTATTTTGAAAAGGCATTGAACTGCCTAAACAATAAACTACCTTCTCTACATTTACCAACCAGCAGACATTTTTAATCACTTTCCATTCCTTTGAACTTATTTTTCTTTCTTTCTTTTCAGTCCAGGAAACTCAGGGCCCAAAGCAGTGCTTTTATATTGAAGTCAAACCATATCGGCAACTTTCTTAAAGCATTGCCATAAAGGGCTCTTGAGACTAGTCAAGTACAGGCAACTGGCATGCTAATGTAGAAGAACTTATATAAATTAGGATGGTGGAGCTGACTTGGTAGTCTCTTTGAATTACACCTTTGTTCTGGGCTCAGTGAAAAAATTCCCTTATAGGTTCCCTATAGGATGTTTGAGAAGATATACTGTGAACCATAAGAATTCTGGATGCTATAGAACGGTTTGTATGGGTGTATGTTTAAAGAAGTATTTGCTTAACTTTCACAAGAGCTCTGTATGTATATAATGGATGTAACCTATTAGGCTTTTGTACATGTAGCTAATAACACACAGCTGAATGAATAGATTAGATGTAGTGAATAGCTTCTGTGCTGCAGTATTAGAACATGCAATCTCTTGTGCTGAGGAACAACATGAAGAGTGAGGCTGTGTTTAGAAAACAATTTGCCTTGGAGATCTGGTAAATAGATTCATATTTTAATACACAAATAAAAATAATAAAATTCAGTAGAGATATAACTTTCCAATCATATATAGGATTTGTCTTTCAAGCAAAGAAGCAGTCTATCTAGTAGCATGTTAGTCTAGTAGACTCTCCTAGGGTTTTCAAATATCAGACACTGACTTTTCTTTTTTTTTCAGACATTGACTTCTGAATGATTGGGTTGTAAATGTTTGTTTTCATTACTGGTGTTCAAACAGAAGAGTGAGAGTCTTCAGGTAGGCCATATGTCTTCTATCTTCCACTTCTTCCTTATCTCTTTTGTAGCTGATACTCATAGCATAAAAGTATATTTGTGTGCGTATCTGGAATTAAGATACATGTACTATTTAGAGATTTATTGACATGTTCTGACTTACCAAGTTCATGTCATCATGGAATGAAACAATGCCTGCATAGCTATAACAAGCATTTTCATTCCCAGTCCAAGATGTTTTAAAGGGGGTCACAATTTTTGCATTAGTTATTTATAATAACTAATGATGAAAGGCACCAGAGTGATAAGTTCTAGAACCTGATGTCTCAGTTTTTCCATCAATCAGTAGTAGAAAACCTGCTGAGGTTTGTCTATTTTCTCCTTAATTTGGCTTTTTGGGGACATGAACCTTTATGCTTTGTGTTTTGAGTCTGATAAGTTAGTCAAGATTATAAGGTTATGCAATAAATGTATCTGCTTTAAAGTGAGTAGGTAGGAACCCATAATTCATATTTGATTATGTCAAATGACAAATAACAGACAGCTAGCTCTGCTTGTGGCAGGAAAATGAGAAAAACTAGGAACAAAAATGGAAACAGAAAAGTATGATGAACTTATAAATTTATGAAGTAACACATGGCCAGAAATTCTTTACAAATATGGAGTCAGGATGCTGAGTTAAAAGTAGGTTAAGCTTTCATTCAGTAATTTGACTTCACTGAATTATCTCTTTCCTATTTCTTATGAACAAGTCATAGAGTGTTGAACCATCTTAACTCTGATCAATGAGTTTCCTGGATAAGCAAACTTGTGATATTATTTGGCAAAGATGTGTGTGCAATACATTCAGAACTATGTCTATGGGAACTTGTTTTTGTTTTAGTCATACTTGTTAAGTGCTATGAAAGCCCGCCGTCAGAGACCTGACTTCTGCTCAAGCAGTGCTGGTATTACCAAAAAATTTTCAAGGAAAAGGAAATGCTGGTCTGGTGGCAAGCATCCATTACACAATTAAAGAACAGCACAGCAGCCTTTCCTGAATCTCTTGATAGCAGCCTCAGAATTTGTGTTTGCTGCTGCCTAGAGGTGAATCTCAGGTTTTCTTGTCACCTAGCACATACATCTTCCACCTAAACCTACATCCCCTTCACTGGAAGGCATCAGATGAATAAAAGGGGAAAAGACGATGTGATAGCTGGTGACAGCAACCTAAGCACATCTCCCCAAAGCCCACTCCCTTACACACACCAAAGGAAGAAGAGCGTCTTCCCTCTCAGCAGAAAATTGTGCAAGAGTAATTTTAAAAATTTCAATTCATTTCTTCTTTAACACTAGACAACTTTCTCTCATTACCAATGTGCTTGAAGATGAACAACTTTGATGTTTTTAATATGAGGCTTTTTTTTTTTTTTTTTTTTTTTTTGGTATCGGGGATCGAACTCGGGTCCTTGCGCTTGCAAGGCCCACCGAACTGCTGAGCTAAGTCCCCGGCCCTATATGAGGTTTTGGATCATGAAAAGCTGGCTTGAGTGAAAGCTAACACAAACTAAATGACGTTGTAACACAAACTAAATGATGTTGTAGGTGTGCCTCTCTGAACCTTTCCAAGTCAAATAAAATTGAGATAATTTTGTAAGTGATAGAGGATTTATTTTCACTAAAGCAGAATATCTTTATAGTAGTGTTGGTAGTGCATAGATTTTAATGTCCAGCAGGTCAAACCTGACCCCTTTGTGAGTTGAAATGAGGAACCTGATAGCCTCTCTCCTGCATGATTTCTGCATGGTCTCCACTCACTGCGATTCCAGGTCAGGAGTACTCCAGATGGCCCCTTCTCACAGCTTTGTAGACTATTTCATCAACATATCGCTAACACAACAACCTTGTGTTCCTTGTGATGCTCATGTAACTAACTTTTTTCAGTAAGAAAATATTTTCCATGTGACTCCAATCACCTTTTATTACATTTCATTGCTTAGTAATAGCCCGATGGATTCAACTGAGAGGTCAGATGCTTAAGCCCTTTTTATCAGCAAAGAAAATGTTTTCTAGCTTATTTTACATGTAAACAAAAGAACTTGTTTTACATGTTAAAAAAAAAAAACATGCCCGCACTATTACCCCAATAATAACAGTCAATAAGACGTAAACCTAAATCAAGACAGTTTTATCTTTAACATTAATTTTTTAAGAATAAAAACCAAGCTATCAGTCAGTTTTAAGAGAAGTTTTGTTAGGATGTTGTTAGTAAATTCCAATTGTGGAATATTCCCAGAGTGAGATTTTGATAAAAGACAGTAAAGAAAAATACAGAGACACATTTTCTTTTTCCCTCCTGTTCAAAGTTACCAACTTTTAAAACAGTTACATTTTAAACACTTAAAAAAAACAATCTGCCCTTCCCCACATATTTATATATGTATATATAAACAATAGTTTTTTTTTTTATTATGATTTGGGGCATTCTATACCTAATGGATAAAACACATGAAGACAAGTATCTTGTACATCAAGTGACCAGATGTGTATGATGCATCTGATTTTATCACTGGAAGAAGAGAGTACGTTTTCCTACAAATAGCATTTAGTTTTCTCATGGCTCATTTTCAATCTGGCACTGTCACAAAGATGTACGTCTGAGTCAGTATGTGGCTGCACGTATACTGTTATAAGGAATGAGAGAGGTTTTTGAAAATCTGAGTTAGTCTTCTGCTTTATTTCTGTTGATTATAATTTGTAGATTGTATTGATTATATTGAAGTGTAGATTAAAGCAATTCAGGATGGGAGGTGTGCAACAAAATGAAAAAAATTAATATAGTAATATTCTGCTTTTTAAATTTTTAAAATACTTTTGGTCTGTTAGATCAAGTGTAAAATCTGACCTATTTTGTATAGCCAGGAGAGTTAACCATTTGAACTTTATTGGGATTAATATAGTTAACCAATCTAAAGAATATAAATTTGCATTTTTGTTATCTCCTAATGGCAATTTAGCATACTAAGGGTAGATTCTTCCTTAAAATGTGAAGTACTCTCTTGATTATGCCAGCTCTTTTTTTCATTCTGCTAAGGCTATAAATAAATCTTCCTATTTAAGGCTGGCATTATATCAACCCACCTGCTTCTGGAAGAGAAAAAAAATCAGATCATTCACCCTGCAGATTGCTTGTGATTATGTGAAAGGTAAGTCTTCACTTTTAAAGTGTTATATGAGATAGGCTGGAGTGTTTTTTTTTTTTTTTCCAAAAAGCAATTTCCAGTTTAACAATTACCCAAGAATTTCTGAGTGCCAATGATAGAAGACGGATCCCTGGAGGATGCATGCATTCATAAGGCCTGACAGGAGCTCAGAGACGACAGCAGTAAACAGGCAGGTAGGAGAATCAAGGGTCATTTCAGTTGTGGCATCAGGAAAGAAGGCAGGAATGGTGGGAATGACAAAGCTTTCATCTTTGAGCTGTCTCAGAGGAACTAGTGCGTGCTTCCCTCTATCCATGGTTTTGTTTTCATGGTTTCAGTTATTTGAGATCAACCTTGATCTGAAAATAGTAAATGAATATTTTTAGTGGGTGGGGAGTGTACATTAGAGTGCAGAGTCATATAACATATTGTAGTATATTTTATAAATATTCTATTTTTATTATTAGTGTTCTTAGGCTCCTACTATGCTAAATTCATAAATTAAACTTTTCCAATAGGTTTGTATGTATAGGGAAAAGGATAACTATATAGGGTTTGACACTGTCTGTGCTTTAAGGAATCCACTGAGGGTCTTGGAATATATCCCCTGAGGATAAGTGGAGCTACTGTAGTCCCTGCTGTTTCTTTTTTCCTATTTAGAATATTTTCCAAAGAGTTATGGGTAGGTGATGGAAAAGAGGTATTTCAAAAGCTTGGTAAACTGAAGGATGCAGTCTGGGGTACATATAAGCTTGTCCTAATCAGATTCCAGAATTTGGAAAGAGGAACATCAGCCCAGTCCTGTTTTAGAAAAAGAACACTTTTATATACATCATATTCATATCTTTTGTTGTTGTTGCTGCCAATGTTTCATCACAGGCCATCTGTTGAAAAGCTCACACAAGATGAGGAGTTTCCAGTCCCTAAGGTTTTTTTGAGAAAATGTGCAGCTACATTTGCTGCTCCCAAAACAGTCCAATCAACTTCAGATTTCCAATCCTGTCATTGATTATTATTATTATTAATTATTATTATTATTATTTATTATTATTGTTTGGTTCCAGAGATTGAACTCAGGACCTTGTGCTTGTGAGGCAGATGCAATGCCACTGAGCCAAATCCCTGGCACCATTAATTACTGATTTACAACATGATTTTCCTGGGTAAACCTTGCTAGCCTAGCCTTAATGGCTCATGAGCCCCATGTTTATTAGGTAAATTTGATGAAAGATCCCAGAAAATCAGCTCTCATTTCAACTTGCAGGTGTATATTGTGAGTCTTCCTTTTACCAGTAATCATATTTTTGCTGGAGTACAAATGAGCAGGCTCTTAGGAATGACTTTTGAAGGACAAAATAGAGTGTCACCAAGAGATTTATGTCAAGTGTTTGCCAAACTACCAAGAAACATCTTCTGTTGCCTACCAGAGTGTAAAGTCAGTAGTCAAATGATATTTAATTCCTCAAAATTTCTATACACAAAGACAGAACTCCAGAACTCTTCCATCAGAAAACAAATGTTTTAGCCAAGAGGAAATGAATGGAGCTCCTCTAGCCAATGGTATTAAGTCAGTTGAAATAACCAGGCACATAATGTATTAGTCTAAAGCATAACGGCAATTTCAGTGTTAAAGGTAAGTCTTTACCTAAGTACCAGGTAGAATGAATGGCTTTGACCCCAAACATTTTGTTATTGGTTCACATGCTACAAAATTCAATGGCATTCTCACGTAAGCTACAGGTGGCCAGAACATAGAAAAATAGATAAAAACAGACCCAAATGAAAGTTTAAAAAGAGCATAAGCTGATTGATTCTTATTCAGTTAGACGGTAAGTATAAAAATTAGAAATAAGGGACATAAACTTAAAATGGAACACAGTGTCTCCTTCCAAATCTTTCTTTAAATTCCTGATGATATATTTTTGCCGGGTCTTAGCCTTTGAAGCTGAAAGTGATCTATTCATTATCTTTCCTAGGAAGCCTGAAGACACATTCTGTGTTGTTGGACAGCTTCTCAGCACAGCCCCTGAAGAGAAAACAAATGTCCTGATAGAGGTGAAGGGAGACCCTGAAAGCAAAAGGTAATTTAGGTGTGCCTCTATTCAATTCCACTTCTCAAACATTTCATTCTCATTTGAACTCCTAATATAAAAATATATTTATTCCTACTTAAGTAATAGAAAGTGACAAAAGTCAAGTTTCAATGGAGGTGAGATTTAAATAATTCATTTTTCAAGAGTCACAGAAGATTATAAGTTCTGGACTCTTGTGAGACCTGAGAACAGGATATTTGAAGAACAATAAGAATAGAATTCACCCTAAAAACTATAAATTCTGAAATACCTTTGTATTAAAAGAGAGTTGTTCGTGATAAACATCAATTGGGAAGGTTGAGCAAAGTCAGAGTTCAGACAAACATCTTCAGAACTAGGAAATATTGGGTCTTAGTAGTTTCTGGATCATTTTTTTTAAACTTTAAGAATATTTGAAAAGTAGATGATTATAAATGCAATGAAAATAAAAAGGATAGAAAAGTGAGTAATATGAGAATTTGGAAAAGTACAAATTTCTTACTGGGAACATATTTGCTGAGGTGAGTTATTTTACACAAATATATAAATACACACACTATTTCAGATATTTGAGTCTATGTATTAATTTTCCTAGATCATTAGGGATGTAGTCAGAAATTTTTTTCTAATACAGATTTAATGACCAGAAAGAGTGAATACGTCTCTGAAAATGCTCAATAACAGACAGAGTACTGGTCAACTCAGAGCAAAATGCTGAGGTAAACAACTCTTCTTTTGATAAAATACTTTGAAACAAAACTCTTGGGAGAAAACTCAGAGATGTTATATCTAAGGGGAAAATTTAGCCCATATGCTGCTCTGAGCGGCCGCAAAGAAAAACTTATATAACTCCTTATTTAACTGGACACTAAAATCCAAGACTTATAATCAATGGAATGCCAGAGCTTTGTGGATATAAAAGGCAACCCAAGAATTGTACCAATAGTGAGGATGTAGAAAGTTACATGTTTATCCAGTTACTGTAAATTCATTACTGCAATCCTTTATGCAGGAAGTAGCCAATTCTTCTGGACCTAGTCAATTTACTTTCATGGTCTGAACACTTACGAGGGTGATATAACCTACACATCCCACACACACACACGTGTGTGTGTGTGTGTGTGTGTGTGTGTGTATTAGAGCCTAATCCAAATAGTAATTTTATTTATATTAGATACATTGCATCTCAAAATATTTCAGAGGTGCACCAGTCTGTTTCAATGTTGGTCAGCTTGGATTTTATGGAACTCTATTTTCTGAAGATATTAACATTTAATCGTGAATTGACCTGTTTCATGTTCAAATCAGTTAGAGAAACTCCAAGGTAAAAATTATTAAGCATGTTTCTTATTTCAATATTTTTCAGAGAATTTACTAGGCATATATAGACTCCGAACCTTTGAGGAATGGTTACAGAATGCTGCATTTGCCCACCCTATTGGTCAATGTGACTCTAGGAGAATGCTTAGCAACAGCTAAACTATTCTATACATCAGTGTATGGAAAACCATGCAGTCTCGTTTTTTCAAGTGGAATAACATCTAAGTCTTTTAACCAAATCATTTCATGGGTACGTTAGCTTTAATGAAATTTCATTTCACTCGTGTTGTTGGTCAACTCTTACTTTGACAGAAAATTCCAGTAAGTTGCAAAGATTTTTTTATTAATTGCTCAGTGCTGTTGATTGTTCACACATGCTGTCTCTGACAGTTAAATACTTGTTGTATGTGGTATTGTGAAACTAAAATGAAATTAGTTTCTGTTAGAAGATTCCCTCCACCTTAACTTTTTTCTTCTTTTTTAATTTGGAAAGATGTATTTGATTTGCACATGGGTTGGGACTTTGAGAGAATGTATAGCACAGCTTGATTTGTATTATTAGACATAAAAGGCTACACATAGTAAAATAATTTCTATAATAATTTCTATGATAGTCACCAGGAAAGTCAAATGAAATATTACTCAAACAGGCAATTCTTCAGTCTTTATATCTCATTTCTACACGTTTTCAAGGAAGAAATAAGTTTAACTGTGTTGCTATCAAATTGGCAGGATGGTTTATAAACTTGACCCTTTTTATTGGGGTCATTTTTATTTTACTAAGCTTTCCTCAAATTTCAAATACTCAAAACAGGCAGCCTTTTGAAAGCCAAATCCTCAATCTGGCACATCAAGAAGGAAATCCTCTTCTTTAGCGTACATCCAATCCAAAATGGGGACACTTTTCAAGTCTCTCAAAGTATGAAAAATAGAGAAATGTCTTTTTTATGCTAACTAACTCTATGATATTTCATAAATATAGTCCCTAGTCAATGCTGTCTTAGATTATATGAATATATGTTTTGAAAGCCACATTTGGTTAGATTGAACCTTTAGAACACATCACTGGTAGGAATGTCATGATGAATTTTTAAAAAAGAAATGAATGTTTAATCCTAATGGTCATTAATATCAACCAAATTTGGTAATTTTTTTTGAGTCAGTCAGGGGAGTAAAAGAATCACCATAATTCCACAAATTTACAGGACTATAGTCTTAATTTTTCCTCAGTGAAATAAAAAATCAATAGTTTTCACTTTGCTGTATACTTATTTACCTCTTTAAAAGAAAAGCAGATTTCTCAAATTTACACAAAATCATTTAAAAAAGAAGAGCAGATATCTACTTGATAAGGAGGCAGGAAGAAACCTTCATGCTGTCTACTGAAGGTAACATCAAGCATCCATTCTTGTGGTAGAGCACAGAGAAATAGAGAGCTGCCATCAGAGTGGCAGTAGGTGGATTTTCCTTAACTGGCAGGAATCTAATCTTCAGGTAACTATCACGCTTTAGACACAACCTTACTTGCATTTCCATCATGTTCTACATGATCATCTTGGTTTATGTTGGCACCTGAGAAGACATTCTCTTAATTCAGAGAGCTTTTGAACAGCAAGATTGTTGAACTTTGCTACTGGTGAATATTATCCATTGGTTATGTATAATCACTACCTCCTATTTTCTATAACTCATTTGTATTGACTGGTGAAAAAAAAAACAGGGGTGGTTAAATTGGGTTATTTTCATTAAAAACACCTACCTTGCACTTTACAGGGACATCTAGTGACACATCTCCTTCAGGAGAAATCAAGGGCTTTGTTACAGTAAATTGGTCCAGTGTGATATTATTAAGTATAAAAAATATTCCATTCTGTATCAAAACTAGGCACATGCCTTTATTTATGGTAACAGAGTTAACAGAGTCGAGCAGTTTTGCCTCAGGTCCTGTTTCTTGGCATCCTACATCAGACATACATATCTCTCAACACATCTCTGCCCATTACTCCAGGGATCTAGTCTCAAGCTGATCTGTAAGTAAAGGAAGGTGAAATCACACTTGGATCTACAGTGGTGAATAACTAAAAGCACAACCTCTCATTCATATTGCTTTAAAACATATACAGCATATATGTTTAAAAAGAAAAGTAAAGAATATATTGATATCTTTTTGGTGCTGATCCAACAGTATGGTATGATGCAAGGCGTTAACAAATGATAATCATAGATACAAAATTTTCTGTAGAGTTTGTTTTAGACAAATGTGTCTTTAATATGTAAATCCTACACTGTAGGTTGTTCTTATTTTTTTCTTTTGTTTTTGCAGTGGTAGAAAATGCTGAATAATTGTCTGTGAGCATGAGCCAAAGGTTCAGGTTCATTACTGAGATCCCCAGAATGCCAGTATTTGCAATGCAAACAATGAGTATCCCACTGTGTGAAGGGCTCTGACACATGCCTGCCTGCCTCTAGATGGAGAGTCTCCATAAGAAGTCCTCCTGCTTCCGTGGACCCTGCTTTGACACAGGGGCAGCTTCATGAAGCTGCCTCTCAGCCTAGTGATTTATTGTGCCAGACTGTCGTACTGATTACCAACAGTAACACAGGGACAGTAGTGACAGTGGTAGACCCTCAAATCATTTTCATGTTGAACCTCCTGGGTCCAGCCACCTCCCCTTCCACAACAGCACCATTGTTTTTGCGGGGCACATATTCAAGGTCAATGCTGTTTTTGTGCTTGCCTTTCCCTCGGCTCCACACAAAAAGGAGGAGAAAACAAAATAAAACCACTCCCAGGAATGTGAAACAGCCCATGGCTGTAGATACCAGTATTGTTTTAAGGTCCAGGGAAAACGTATTAGCATTGGTGCCATTGGAAATAGTGTCATTGGAGTCGGTCATGTACATAGGGGTCCTATTTGCGTATAGGAAGCGATCGGAAGTGAATCCTTTCACTGTTAAGGAGGCTGTGAAGGTGTCATTCCCAGCAGCATTGCTAGCGATGCAAACATACATCCCACTGTCTTGATCCTGGGCAAAGCGGATTTCCAATGTGCCATCACCCAACACGGTGGCTCTCCCGTTGGACTTGGTGGTGATAAAACGCCTTCTAGGTGTCACCCAGGAAATCACAGGCTGTGGGTCTCCATCAGCATTGCATTCTAGCTGGACGGTCTGTCCTTCATCTACAAGCACGTGCTGCAACTTCTTTTCACGGATTTTGGGTTTTTTGCAAGTAAAGTAAAAAGAAAGGGCAGTGCTGTGAAAATCCTTGAAAGATCTCTCGCGGATGGTGTCTGGACCAGCACACATGGGTTGCTGGCCACCAAACTGCAGGGTGGGCTGTCTCTGCAGGATCCAGAGGAGACGACAGTCACAGGCCAGTGGGTTATTATTAATGCTCAAGACCTCCAAAGCTCGAGGGTAGGAGAAGACATTCTCTTCCAAAGTTTCCAGCAGGTTCTGAGACACATTGAGCACACGCAGAAAGCGGAGCCCTTGGAATGAGTGAGGTTCAATGGTGCGGAGCTGGGCCCCCACTATATGAAGCTCTTGAAGGCGGATCAGGTCAGAGAACATGCCTGCTTCAATAGTGCTGATGGGATTGTAGGAGAGGTTAAGGTGGGTCAGGTATACCAGGTGTTTAAAGGCAAGGAAGGGTACAGTGGACAGGTTAGTGTTAGTGACTGACAGGGATGTGAGGTTGAGACCATAGAGGCTATTGGCAGGCATTATATCCAGTAAAGGCCAGTAATCAATCTCTAGGTGTTTCAGGTGGAATAATCTTTTAAAGGCATACACGGGCATATTGTTGATATTAAGATGCTTCAGGTGCAGGCTGATGAGGCTGCGAAGGTGGGAGAGGGCTTCTGTTGGCACTGCTGTTAAATTGCATTTCTCCAGGGTGAGCTGTTCCAAGCTAAGTAGCCCACTGAAGGCCCTGTGTGATATGTAAACCAAATCGTTGTCTCCCACTTCTAGAGACTTCAGGTTATGCAGATCCTGAAACATGTAGTCCAGTAAAATGACAATCTTATTCTCACTAATGTCGAGCTTAGTAAGGTTGGACAGCCCCGTGAATACTCCTAAAGGAACCAACTTCAAGCGATTGCCTTTTAAGCGGAGCGAACGCAGGTTAAAGAGATTGTTAAATGCTCCTGGTTCCACATTGGCGATGATGTTGTCACTTAAGTCTATTTCTTCCAGCAGAGGGTATGATATAAATTCTTCGGGATTGATGCTCTTCAGCCTGTTCTTGCTGAGGTCTAAGATCTTGGTCTCAATGGGAATGCCCTCTGGGATGGCAATCAAACGCCTTCTGTGGCAGCTAACAGATTTGTTCTGGGCAGAGCACTCACAGCGGGCAGGGCAGCCAATGGTGGATCCCATGAAGATCAACAGCACAGCCAGACCCAGGAATGGCTGCCAGCATGACACGGCCGTGTGAAGCATGACTCCACTTCTGTGTCTACGCCTTGGTCACGGGCCTGCACAGGAGCGGTAAAGAAGAGAAGTTGAGTTATTGGTCAGATGTGTAAAGAGGCATAAGTAAGACAGCACGTAGAATGGAATGGGTGCTGAATTTGGAGGCAGTCACATCTGGGATTATACCTGAGAGTTCCCCTTATAGCCGGCATGATTTTGGACAAGTTGTTTTATCTTTCTGTGCTGTGGAGTTCTTGGCTATAAAATAAAGACAATGGAGGGAATAATTATAGCTTCCTAGAGCTATCACGACAGATTCAGTGTTTGACAACTGTGAAGAGGCAAATTAATGGTCTGACATGGACTGAAGCAAAATATCATACATTCCTCACACAAAAGGCTCTGCTTTGAATTTGAATGCCAGAAACAGAGGTCAATGGCTATGAGGAATCCATTTCTGTGTGAATGAGTGTCTGTACTCTATCTCTGTCTGGGCGATTGCCCTCCATTCAAAATGAAACTAATAGAAGTTTCATTCAACATCAGGCCCTTGAGTCCAATAGTTACATCCAATGCAAAATGCTGAGATTTTTCTTTATATACATATTCTAATAAAAAATAACTTACTTTTGAGGCAAAACTTTGTTAGACTCTGGTGAATTTTGATTTATGAAGTTACTTTCTTATTTGTGACAAATATTTACCTGTACTGTTTCCTTGAATTGTTTTTGTGCTTCTTTTGGGAATGAGGCAGAATTAAGCAACTATCATGGCTGTGGTGAATATGTTTCCTATATGATCTGATGTTAAATTCTAACTTTTGTCATTACTGAATATTTAAGGGAAAAACTTTCATTAATAATATATGAACCGTCATTCTTTCATATTCAAATTGACTAGATCTGTTAAGGTGAAATTAAACAGGTGCAGCATCAATTTGGAAATAAGTATGTCTTCCATGTCTAAAGGAGATACTGAATTTACTGCTCAACTGAATTATAAAAAGTATGTCACTGAACTGTTTCTCAATCTGAATTTTCCAGAATTCTATTCATATTTTATGAAAGGTTAAACACTTTGAAACAATATTTTTAAATAAAAATATATTTGATAAATTGCAGCATTCACTCCTGAACTATAAAATAAAAATTAGTAATTTCATCAATTATGGTGTTTACACATATGAAACATGATAAAAATACAGCAAAATAGTATCTAAATAAAAATTTCACTACAGTAAAAGACATTGCTATCAATATTCATCACCATATTTTTTGATTATAGCATATAGCTATGTCTGTATCTATGGCTTTACATCTAAAGAGAGTTATGCATATAAATAACAAGTACAATCAAACTTCATGATGAGTCACTAGACCATTAGGAAGTACCCTCTCAGACTGGAGAAACAAGACAAAGATTCAGAAAGTGTTAGCCAAATAAATTACACAAGAACATAAACTATAATTAAGTTATAATTGGAAAAAATGTGGCAAAGCTATCAATATTTACTGGTCAAATTAATATCTTGCATAAAATCCAACTAAGATAAACTGAAAAACTGTTAGAACAAATAGAATAAATTATCATGCTAAAAACAATTTGCATACATATAAAAGTCACATAGAAAATATTGTAAATTTTCAGTCAACATTTCTGAAAAATATCAAATTTTATAGCATAAACAAACACATAGAGCTAATATGACATCTATTAAATCCTGCTAAGGCACCAAGATATAATTATCTATAGAGATATACTATAGATAGGTTAAATATTATATGAACATTCTCAAAAAGCATAATAAAGTATAAAACTTTTAAAGTTAAAAAATTACTTCTAAGGTGGAAATAATTGAACTAATACACAGATGTTTGAAACAATTTTTAGTTTTATTTTGATTTCTCAAAGCTAATAGTTGTCACATTCTGTGTATTTCTTGTTAGGTTTATTTTGTATCGTCTATAATTAGGAAAAATGGAAATGTGTAATAGTAAGAGCTCAGTTATATAAATTATGATATAATGATACAATTAAATGCTGTGTGGGCAATGCACCATGTTTGAAAAAACATGCACATCAGAATAAGCAGAAAGATTTAAAAATGATAAAATGCTTTACTATATATTTAAACATGAGATGTAAAAGTATAATAAAAAGTATAATATTGACAAAAATATATAGGTAACAGAGTAAGAAATAGCATCTGGATATATTTGAAAAATCTTATGCTAAAATGGTAAGGAAATATAAATAATCAGCTAGTTATTCAGTCAGAAAAGCTGCACTTCACATCCACCCTTTCCAATAAAATATATTCTAGATTAATTAAAAACTAAAACAAAGAAAAGTACTAAAAGAAAATTCAATAATTTTATTAGAGCTGAGAAGTATTTTCTATCTATAAAGCTAAGAAGTAAGAAGAAAATAATCATTCCTGTTGTAGTTAAAAATGTTGCAGGAGATTATCATGCACCCACATATACACACAAGCAATTACTAACCTGGAGAATATATTTTAAAATCATATTACAGACAATGGATTAAAGACAGTAATCAGTTGTTATGTCAAAAGAAAGGCAATGCATTACTAAAAACTAGAAATAGTTAATAGATGGAAAGGTAAAGAACTTCAGTTAAACAATAGAGGTATACAGTTTTTGCCTATTAGATTGAGAAAAAACATTTTTAGCCCAGTTTAAGGGTGGAAATATATCTATGTGCTGACATAAGAAATATAAACTAGGGGCCGGGAATTTAGCTCAGCAGTTCGGTGACCTGCCTTGTAAGCGCAAGGACCGGAGTTCAATCCCCGGTACCAAAAAAACAAAACAAACAGAAATATAAATTAGTATGTAAATAAATAAATAAACTGGTATATAAAAAAAATGAGAAACTGAAAAAATGGAAATAAAGTGTTTGTAAATGGGGAGGGGAGGAGGGGGTGAAGGGAGGGCAGGGACAAGGGGAAAAATGAGAATCAAGACCTGTTATGTAAAGGTACAGAATCCCAATGATGCATGTAACTGTATTGTATACCTAGATTGCATCAATAACCTCAATAAAAAAGAAAAAATAATAATTGAAAATAAATAAATATAAACTACTTGATAGGCCTAATTTAAATATCTCAAGTTTAATATGTTCACCCTTTAGACCAAATTTTTTCAACTAGAAAAGAATCATTAAGAAATAATTGACTAAACGTGTATTTGCTACTGATTTGTCTATAATAGAGGAAAATTGAACAACTACAACAGTAAGAGCTTAGTTATGTAAGTTATATTCTAACCATACAATAAAATACGAGGTAGACAATATACTATAAAATTTACATGGGAAGATGAAATTGTGATGTATACTCTCATTTGTGTATATAAATGTACATAAAATGATGTTATAAGGTAGCAATACATTTAGTATTTGTAAGAAACAGATCTTTAACCAAAATGATTGTATCATTCAACATTCTAACTAGTAATGAATGAGTGTGTCAGAGCTCTACATATCCCTCCAATGTGAACACTGTCAGGCTTTTATATGACCCATTCTAGTGAAAACATAATATTATGCTGACAATTAGTGGTGGCATCTTTTTGTCTGTTTATTGTCTATTTATACAGATTTTTTTTTGTTAAATCTGATGTTTAGTATATTTTGCTTTTATTGGTTTGTATTTTCTTATGGACATGTAAAATTATGTATATATTCTAAATACCAAATCTCTACTAGATATATGTGCAGTGAACATTTTCTGCTAATTTTTGGTTTGCCTTCTCACCCTGCCTTGATTTCAGTAATGGGGATTGAATCCAGAGTCTTCATACTGAGCTATACCCCAGCCTTTTATTTATTTACTTACTATTTTTAAGATAAGGTCTTGTTAAATTGCTCAGGTTGCGCTCGAACTTGCCATCCTCCTGACTTAGCTTCCAGAGTGCTGGATTACAGATGTGTGCCATTACATCAGGCTATCTTTTCAATTTCTTATTGGTGTGTTTTAAACACCAGAGGTTTTAAAACCTGATTAACCCCACTTCAATATTTTTCCTCTTTATGACTTATATTTTTGTGTTCCATCCAAGATCTTTGCTTATGCTAATGTGGTAAAGATTTTCTTGGATGCATTCTGGAAATTTTATACTTCTATAATTTATATTTAGATCTATGATCCTATGACAGTCAACCTGGACTGTCAACTTGATTGGCTGGACAGCACCCTAGGGGGATTAACACAGCACGTGTCTGGGTAGGTCGTAAATGCATGACCTTTGGCTCTGTGCCTTGTCCCTGACCCCTGCTCGGGATCTGCTCCTCAGCTTTGTTCCCCAGAACAAGACAGCTGACTGATCGATATGGATCTGTTTTGAATACATTTTTGTGTATGATATGAGAAAGAGAGAGATTTTTTTTTTCTTTCTGACAGCTATTTAGTGTTTCAAGTGTTATTTCTTAAAAAGACTTTTGTCTCTCTATTGCAGTGCCCTGGGATATTTGTCTGAAATCAGCTGACCATATGCAAGTATACATGTGCCTATTTGTGAATTTTATTTGGCTTCATCAATTTGTATATCTGTCCTTTCACCAAAACTATTTTTGTTACTGTTTCTATTTATAGTAGGTGTAAGTCTTGAAATCAGATATTGGTGCTCCAGGTTTTATCTTCTTTTCACAGAATTTTTGGATCTTACAGTTCATTAGAATTCCATATATATTTTGGTATCAGCTTGTTATTTTCTGAAAAAATACTACTGAGATACTGATAATAATTGTGTTGATAACATAGAAAGATTGGTGGAGAGTTGATACTGCAATAACATTGAGCTTTACAATCTATAAAGATGGTATTGTCTTCACTCATTTAGATCTTTAATTTTCTTCAGCAAATGTTCTTTCATTTATATAGTTTTAATTTTTCTTTTCTGATATATTTTGTATCTTTTTGCATTAGATAATACCATTAATGCAATGTTAAATAGAAGTTCTGAGAGTTGTCTTCTTAGTTTTTATACTCAGAGGAAAATCAGTTCTGCCTAAGATTATTTCTTTCTAAAATACTTGA